ATTCTTTTATTAGTTTTCTTTCGTTTTCTTCTTGCACCTGTTTTCATTGACAAAACTGTTGTAGCGACATAAATGTGATTGGGAGGGAATACAAATAACAATGCCAAAATGAAATAAAGATGAAACAAAAAAAAAAGAGAAACGGACAGACTGATGGACGATGATGAGAAAAAAAAAAAGAAAAGAAAAGAAAAAAATCTGAGTGGATTAGTTTAGTTGATTTAAAACTACCACTACTTCAGTTGGGACTTTTTTTTTTCTTGTTGGTTATTATGTTTCTTATTATTTTAATGAAAGAAAAAAAAAAAAAGGAAAAATGAAAAGGTAAATCAAAATTTAAAAGAAGGGAAAAAATTTAAGGTGCATTCGGACGACCCTCAATAAGTGGTCGAATACCGTTGGCTGTCAATAACAATTATTCACTGTCTAACGCTCAACAGGTATTATTTTTTTTTTTCTCCTTTCCTTCATACAATATTTTTCGTTTGTTTTTGGCTGTCAAAATGATATTTGTAATGGGTTTTCTCTTTATTTATTGTACAAATTTTTTTTGCTGATCATTTCAGGTTTAATTTTTGTTTTTTTGTAGAAAAAAATTGCTGTTTTTTAGACTTTACTGTAAATGAAAAAAAAAAATTTCTTTTGTTCAAATGGTCAGTTGTTTCTTTTTTTTTTTTTTTTTTTTGTTCTGCTTTTCTTTTGCAATTGCTAATTTATTTCTTTTATGCTTTTGCACTGTTCATCGGTTTGCTTACTTCTTTTGAAAGCTGTGATCGTCTTTTTGCAGTTTGTCTGTCACTGTATGTATCATCTGTTCGGGAGCTTTTTTTTTTTTATTTCAGAAGATAAAAAAAGGAAGGAAAATAGGATGTAAAATAGGAGCGTACATTTAGTGGTATAATCATTGAGTGTATGGATGGAAAAAAAAAATTGAAGATTATCTAGGATAAGCTGATTGTTCTTTCGGAGCGGTCGACGTAGAAAATTCTTGGATAATTAGTGGGAGAAGGGGGGGGGGGAAAAAAAACGAAGTTTTGCTAACAGTTCTGAAATCATCTTAAATAGCGGTTGTCTATTTATAGACTATGGGGAGAAAATTAAGGAGAGGATAGGGAGAAACGGTTAGTTTAGGTATCCGTTCAAAGAGTTTCATTGATACTAACGTAATGATATTGGCATC